GCTCTGTTAAGCATAAAATACCTTTGAAGAATAAGGTCGACATATGTTTCATGCTTTTCACAGACTTCATCGAGACTTTTCGCCTTGGTAAGCTCTTCATTTGCCTCGACAGCCAGCGAACCTCCGATTTGTTTTGCGAATGCGCCCCATTGGGATTGAATCGCGTGAAGGCTAATGTAGGAATCCAACGCTCGCATAACCACCTCCATTCCGTGTCGCCAAGCTGATATTTTAAAAAGGTTGGCCCATTTCACATCATTACCTAGGCAGAAAAGTAACAACAACAGCCTAACATAATCATCGAGCGATATAAACTAAGACAGCTAAGACATCCATCTTTCCTTGGATGGCAAACACACTTGGAAAGTCTTTGGGAACGCATCTAAAGACCACGACTCTCAAACTCCTAATCCGTTACGTGTATATTCCATTAACATTAATTCGACCAACCGGGGTGTGGGATAGTCTTACCTCCACGTGGTGCATCCTGGGCAACGTATACTCATACGGCAAAAAAGTCTATTAACCGGCAGTTGACTTCTAACTTCAACGGCAAAGTCTATTAACTGGTAGTTGACTTCTCCGCATACGGCAAAAAAGTCTATTAACCGGCAGTTTTCTTCTCACTTCAAACTACCATGACCCCCCTATATGTCCTACATTCTCATACGGCAAAAAAGTCTATTAACCGGCATTTGACATGACTTCAAACTACAATCACCCCACTGTATGTCAAATTCGACTTCTAACTTCAAAACACCATGATCCCACTGTATGTCATATTCGACCACTTCCACGGTACTTATCCTACCTTTTCTCTGCCTTTGTGTCTGTCTGTCTGTCTCTTTTACATCATTGAAACACTCTTCTGCCCCCCCCCTCTCCACTTTTTCTCACTTTGAGGTTCCTCCTCCCCTCTGTGAAACCCGAAATCAACTAAAGAGCTAATGATAACTATCAAAATCCCTGCCATTTGTTATAAATAAATAAATTCGACCATTTGAGTACCTAGATATTGATAGGTATTCAATTACCCATCCAGGTTAAATCGCTAAAAGGTAAAATTTAAAATAAAAGGCCTTAATCTCAAGCCAATAAGCTTACGATGCTCACGAAGAAATTGATACACAGACTCAAGTTCCCAAATAGCGTATTTGATACGGCCAATCAAGCAAAATACGGTATTGTACTTGGCCAAGACGCGCTCGTGCAAGCAGATATTTATTGGCCAGGGAGCATTGTACACCAAGACCAAGTGTTCGAATACCCTATCCACTGAAAAAGAGAAAGGGGGACAAAAGAAGTATGTTTCAAAGATTCCCCAAGAGAAGTCGTCGTTGCGAGACTCGATTAACCTACCGTGCCCTTTGCAATCATTCACCGGAACAGTCCTCAGCTGTTTGAAGTAGAAGGGCACCTGTTCAAATCCGCCTCGAAATATTGATGAATTTTGAGGTTTGAATAATTCACTGGGAACTAAATCTTCAAACCTCCTCTTATCATTGAAAATATTTCGAAATTCGCCCCGATTTGAAAGCTAGAGGAGGGAAAATACAATTAATCACTTTAATTTTTGGTCATGACCTCCATCAATGAATTAGGAAGTCCAGAGGTGAACTGAATATAAGTTAGTTCAATATTTCAAAAACGAGGTGTGCGATAGACTTACCTCCACGTGGTGCACCCTGGGCAACGTATACTCATACGGCAAAAAATTCTATTAACTGTCAGTTGACTTCT